ACCACCACTATCATCATCATCATCATCATCATCAACATCATCATCATCATCATCATCCTCATCAGCAGCAGCATCCTCATCATCATCACCATCACAATTGTCATCGACAGCATCATCATCATCATCATCATCATCATCATCATCATCATCATCACCGTCGCTTTCTTCCTCCCCCACATGTCCCCCACCAGTTTTCACACAGGCTGTGTTGTCGCCGTCGCCGCCCCGTCGTGGCCTCGTCGCCTCCCGTCGTCTGGGCCTTTGTGGCGGTATGGCGGCTCTGTTGTCACCGTCGCCGCCCCGTCGCCGCCTCGTCGCTGCCCGCCGTCTGGGCCTTTGTGGCGGTCTGGCGGCTATGTTGTCGGCGTTGCCGCCCCGTCCTCGCCCGTCGTCTGGGCCTGCCTCCTTTGGCGTGCTTGGCATTGTTGTGCCTTGCGTCGCACTGCACTGCTTTACTTTGCCCAGCGCTGTTACTCATTGATTCGAATTGCCATACCGTGTTTTGGGTTGTTCTACGTTGCGTTGCATTGCTTCGCTCTGCTGTCAATTGTGTCGCATTGGTTTGCATGGTTTTTGTTGTACTGCATCAAATGAAAATCCGTTTCCTTCTTTACCAAAGAGCACTCGGACTCATCATCCTCCAGAAGCCGGAATTATCAGTATCCCAGGGGATGCACACATTTACAGACCATCTCGCCCGATCGCGCATTAGATTTATGAGCCCATACCACCCCAGCCAGGCCAATATCGACAACCCCACTCATTCCCGTCTCATAACGTTTTGTGCGTACACTCGTCTATCAAACATCATCCATTGCGGTTTTCTCAGACAAAAAAATAAACAAAAAAACAACGGAGCGCACGCGCCAGTTGCCGCGCACGCACGCCGAAATACGGCAACCAAATATATGTCCGCAGGGGGGGTCAAATCGAGGGTCCCGAAAACACGTGAAAGACCATTGGTTCACTTCCAAAAAAATCGGCGCCCGCGTTTTGGCGACCCCCCCAACCAAAAAACAGCAATGTCCAACATGTTCATCAACTGCGGCCTCACAAACCACTCGCGCGCGCATGGCGAAACTCACTCGAAAGCCCTTGCGCGTGTGTGTTGGGGGGCACCATGTTCCTCAAATGACGGCATGCGGGCCAATCGAGCGCGCCGACCGCGAGCACATGACGAACTCCTTTTTCACAACCTTCACCACCGACGCGTGGACACCATCATCGTCACCGGCGTGATCCGCATCGGCGCCGTCATTGGCCTTGCCGTCGTTTTGGCCATCATTTCCGCCACCAACACCGCTACTACCATCATCGTGTCTGCCGGTGCCGACGTCGCCTTGGTACTGCGCCCACCCGACCCACCGACTCGCACTGGAGTGCCCGCGCGGCAGTTCAGCGTGCGAAACGCACTGAGAGCCCAGCGGCCAGCGCCACCGCGGCCGCGTCGGTCGCTCCAGAATAAGATGGCCGTTCTGCGCGCGAGCTTGGGCGCGCCAGTGCGACCGCACCGATGTGCCAGCCAGCCAAGCCAAGCAGCGATCGCAATCGCCACTGCATGGGCTTTGCTAACCATGTTGCGGGTGGGTGGGTGGGATGATTCTGCGAGAAGTGGAGTTGATATTTCCGTTGGAATGCTCAGCAACAGCCATATGCTTCCTGTTGCCAAGGATGGCTGGGTCGTTGGATCATGCGCCACTTACCTAACAGCGAAGACTGCTAGGTTTCTGGTGGGCTCAAAAAAAAACATCTTGACTCCCCAGAGGGGGTCTGGGCGGATGCCAGGGAGAATCCGGGGACTCCCCCGGACTCCCGAAGAGGATCTGGGCGGGTGCCGGGGAGGATCCGGGGACTTCGCAAAACACCACTCCCAAGCCGCATTTTGAATGCCCGGAGCCAGCTGTAAGCCACTTCGTGATCTTCGTGTTCCCAGAACACCACTCCCAGGCCACAATTTGAATGCCCGGAGCCAACTGTAGGCCACTTCGTGTTCGCCTTCCCAGAACACCACTCCCAGGCCACATTTTGAATGCCCGGAGCCAACTGTAGGCCACTTCGTGTTCTTCGTGTTCCCAGAGCACCATTCCCAGGCCACATTTTGCATGCCCGGAGCCAACCGTAAGCCACTTCGTGTTCTTCGCCTTCCCAGTACACCACTCCCACGCCACATTTTGAATGCCCGGAGCCAACTGCAAGTCACTTCGTGATCTTCGCGTTCCCAGAACATCAGTCCTGTGTCATATTTTGAATGCCCGAGCTGGGGCAGGCTGAGGCCGAGGCAGGCTGGGGCCGAGGCAGGCTGAGGCTGAGGCCGAAGCATTATTCCCCCAAGGCTCTCCAATTGGGGCCGATTGGCATGGCAATGCATGGTTGCAGCGCGGGGCTGTCGGGGCCATTCGGCCCTCCACCGCCATCTCCGCCTGGGCCCCCTTCCATCGCCAGGCCCCCCAGGAGAGTCGCCTGGCGGCTTAGGTTCCCCAAATTTATCGAACTGCGCCGC